TCATGGTCCCCGCCCACAGAGAGCAGCCAATCATAGCCATAGAAATCAGCCCCGCCCACTCAGGTGTGTGACACACCCCTGGGAACCACTGACCAATCACAGCGCAGAACTGCACAACCTGTGGAGCCCCTGACCAATCAGAGCCCAGCCCAGCACTACCTGTGGACTCGTTGACCAATCATCAGCCGGAGCCACACAACCTGTGGAGCCTCTGACCAATCAGAGGCCTGCACAGCTCAACCTGTGGAACTCACGGGCCAATCAGCTCGCAGAGCACCTGTCCCTGCAGCCAATCAGGGCACAGCAGGGACATGGGGGACAACGGGGACTCACCCAGGCTGGGCAGCCTCACCCACAGCCCTGGGCACCACATGTGGCACCTTGGGGTCACCCCAGTCCCTGAAAAGGGCACCCCAACATGGCACCCTGGGGTCACCCACAGCCCTGGCCACCACATGTGGCACCTTTAGGGTCACCCCAGTCCTTGACCACCCCAACAGGGCACCTTTGGGTGCCCCATGTTCCTCAGAACCCCAGTGCTGCTCCTTGGGGTTACACAGAGCCCTGAGCACCCCAGTGTGGCACCTTTAGGGTCTCTCACAGCCCTGAGCACCCAGTGCTGCCCTCTGGGGTCACTCACAGCCCTGGGCACTCCAATGCATCAATTTGGGGTCACCCACATCCCTGTGCACCCCAGAGTACCACCCTGGGGACCCCCACACCCAGTGCGGCACCTTGGGGTCACCCCGATCCCTGAGAACCCCAGCGCGGCACCTTGGGGTCACCCAGAGCACCCCGAGTCCCCAGCGCAGCCTCTCCGGGGTGTCCCCCCTCGGCAGGGACCGTGTCCCCATTCCCACGGGGACCAGCCCCCATTTTCCGGGATGCCGGGGCTCCGATGGCTCCCCCAGGCGAGGGGCGGGGGGAACCCCAAAATCCGCCTCCCCCGGATTTCCCGCTCCACCCCAAGCTCCCGCATCCCTGGGGACGAGCCGGTGGTGTCCCCGTGTCCCCAAAGCCGGTACCTGTCCCTGGGGGTGGCCGTGGCCATCCATGACCCCGCAGCCGTGGGAGCAGCGCCGGCGCAGCGGGGCCGGAACGGGGTGTGTGTGTGTGTGTGTGTGTGTGTGTGTTTTTAGGGGGGGGCCCCCCCTTTTTGTCACCGCTGTCGCTTGTGCAAAGCCACCAAAAAAGCCCCAGAGCTCAGGAAATGCCAAGTCACCCGCGGCCCCAACGGCGCTTCCTGCCCCGCTGCCTGCTCCGCTTGGGGACACCGGCACCGTCTGGGGACACCGGCACCGTCTGGGGACACTGCGGAGCCCACCCGGCAGCTCCGGGATGTCCCCGAGCTTATCCCGGCATTCCCGGAAAATCCAACCCCAAATGCTGCCGAGTGTTGAGTTTGCCGGTTCTCAGCATCCCGAAATTCCCGGCGCTCCCACCTGGAGCTGCGTCCCAAAATTTCCGGGGTACCCACCCGGAATTGAGCTCCCGAAATTCCCAGTGGGCCCTCCTGGAGTCCGAAATTCTCGGGGCACCCACGCAGAGCTGAGCTCCCGAAATTCCCGGCGCTCTCTCCTGGAGCTGCGCCCCAAAATTCCCGGGGCACCCACCCGGAGCTGCGCCCCAAAATTCTCGGGGCGAGTTGAGCTCCCGAAATTCCCGGCGCTTCCTCCTGGAGCTGGTGTTCCAAAATTCCCAGGGCACCCACCCGGAGCTGCACCCTGAAATTCCCGGCGCTCCCAACTGGAGCTGCACCCCGAAATTCCCGGGGCACCCACCCGGAATTGAGCTCCCGAAATTCCCCGTGCGCCCACCTGGAGCTGCTGTTCCAAAATTCCCGGGGCCCCCACCAGGAGCCGCATCCCGAATCCAGAGTTGGGGTCCCGAAATTCCCGCTGCGCCCACCCTTCGGGAGCGGCTGTCCCGAAGTTCCGGGTGTGCCCTCCCGAGGCCGCGGTCCCCGCCGGTGCCAGTCCCGGTGCCGGTGGCGGTGCCACCCCGCGGTGCTGTCGCAGCCGGTTCCCGGCTGGCAGAGCCTGTTCGGCGGCTTCTGGGCTCGGCCGGCGCGGAGCCGCCTGGGAGCGCCGGGAACGCAGAACCGGGCACGCAGAACCGGGAATGAAGAACCGGGAATCCCAGAACCGGGAACGCAGAACCGGGAATCCCAGCCGGGAATGCCGCCCCTCCGCCGGGAGCCCCCCAGAAAGCGACAGTGACAAAGCCGCCGCGATGTCACCCCCCTGCACGGAGCGCCACGGGTGGCACTGAGTGACCCCGCGGGTTCACGGTCCCGCCGACCCCTTTGGAGGGGTGGGACAGCACGGCCACCCCTGGGGACAGCACGGCCACCCCTGGGGACAGCCCTGTCCCGTGCCAGCGCCTGTGACAGGAGCTCTGTCCTGGTTTAAAGCCACCGGAGACAACGGGCCATCCCCGGGCCACCGACAGGGCCGCTGCCATCCAGGTGACACTGCACGGAGGGGACACTGCCATCACCTGGGCCATGTCCCCCCAGACTTGTCCTTGCTGGGGCCTTGGGGACACAGGGTTTTGGCTGGGGAGGTGACGCTGGGGTCTGGCCATGTCCCCGGTGCCTCAGAGGTGGCATGGTCACCCCACTGGTGTGGCACAGTGAGCAGGACACCCTGACAAGTGGCACCTGTCCCCACACAACCGTGGGTGACACCTGTCCCCCTGTGAGTGCCCTGACAGCACAGTGGGACCCTGCAGGGCCATCAGACCCTGGTGGCACTGCACGTGTCCCCAGGGACACCCGACAGTGTGACATGTGTGCCCTGCCACCACACATCCACCTGATAGATGGCACTTGTCCCCATCCATGTCCCCTCTGCGACCACACACAGCTGATGGACGGCAACTGTCCCCACATGGGCACCTCGCAGAGTGGCACCTGTCCCCACACAGCTGGAGCAAGTGGCACCTGTCCCCCTGTGACTCTGGACACCTCAACAATGTGGCACCTGTCCCTACCCAACCACGGACACCTCGATGGTGTGGCACTTGTCCCCACAGGGCCATGGTCACCTCAGTGTTGTGGCATGGGTCCCCAGTGGACCACAGACACCTCAGTGACACCTGTCCCCAGAGGATTATGGTCACCTCAATGATGTGGCACCTGTCCCCACAGGGCCATGGTCACCTCGGGGATGTGGCATCTGTCCCCAGAGGACCACAGACACCTCAATGGTGTGGCACCTGTCCCACATGGCCATGGTCACCTCAGTGGTGTGGCACATGTCCCTGGATGACCACGAGTACCTTGAGGCTGTGGCACCTGTCCCCATGGGACCACGGGCACCCTGACCATGTGGCACCTGTCCCCACACAGCCACAGCCACCCCGATGGAGTGGCACCTGTCCCCATGTCACCCCCCGATGTCCCAGCACGTGGCCCTGTCCAAGCCCCCTGGCTGTGTCCCCCCAAAGTGGGGTGACTTTGTTTTGGGGTGCAGAGGAGGCTCCCGGGTGACATCGTGGATGACCCCATGGATGTCCCCAAACCCTCCCGGCATCCCCGGCCACCTCCCTGGGACACAGCGGGGTTTTGGGGGAGCAATTTCACCCAGAAATCCATCAGGTCACCCCAGCCCGCGGGGACAGCGCTGGAGGTGGCACGGGCCGGGGGGTGACACTTGGGTGCCACCTCCCCTCCAGGACCCGCCCCCCATCCGGGGTAATTAAGGACAAAACGAAGCACGAGGGACTTTTGGGGTGGCCTGGGGGGAGCCCACCCAGGAACCCCCTTGGGGACACCCCCCAGGATTTGGCAGAGGGTGCCGGGGGTCCCCAAAACCGAGCCCCCCCCGCCCCGCCAGAACCCGCTGTCCCCACCCTGTCGCCGTTCCAATGTCACCGCGCACCTGTCGCCGGGCGGTGGCGCCGGGAGCGGAGGGGACACGCGGATCCCCCCAAAAAACCTCCCGGGGGGGTTTAAGGGACCCCCAAACCCCCCGGGAAGGGCTGAGACGGGCGGGGGGACCCCAAATTCCCTCCGGGAAAGGCGGAGCGCGATGGGCGGGGGGGTCCCCGCGGGATGCGGTGTCCCCTGGGGGGGGGTCACGGATGGCGCCGAGGGCCAGGCGGGTTTGGGGACACCCCGCAGGTGACAACGGCGAGCAGGGGGGGACGCGGTGACAAACGGGGGGTGGAGAGGGAGGGCACGGGGGTGGCGCGGATCTAACGGGGGGGGTTTTAGGGACCCGCAGGATGTGACAGCGCAGTCCGGGCGCGGGGGGGGACACAGCGAATGGGGGGATGCGACAATGGGGGACAGGAGGGGATGGGGACACAGGCGGGGGGGCGGGAATTGGGGGGGGGCGCAGTGGGAGGGTGTAACCAGCGGGGGTGGGGGGGCTGCCGGGGGTACCCCCGCCCCTGTGCCCGCCCGGGGGGTGCCCGGTGCCCGGTGCCCGGTGCCCGGCTCACCTTGGCGAAGTAGAGCATCCAGAGCTCGCACAGCCGCTCCCGGGAAGCCATGCCCGGGGCCGGCCCGGCTGGGAACGAGCGGCGGCTCCGCCCCCCCGAACCCCCCCAATCCCAGCCCTGGCACCTCCCCCAGGTGTGGGGGGGGCGGGGACTCCCCTCCACCTGCTGGGGTGCGGGGACGCGCCCGTTCCCCATTATCTGCTTTTCCTCCCTATTCCCACATTTCCGTATTCATAAAGGGGAGATAAAAGGGGGTGAGGAAGGCACAGCCCCACCCCATCCCCCCCAAATAATTAACACTAATTAGCGCAGCTGAGCCTCGCTCACCCTTAGCGATACTCTGAACAAACAGAACCCGACGGCTTCGCCTTGCTTTCACTTCTAATCCCCTTTTAAAGCATTTTCAAATATTTAATGCTTAATTTTTTACCTTCCCACTCCCCAACCCCCCCCCATCAATTGCTCTCATCGACACTCTCGGCGCTCGGCACGCCCGGCCTGGCGCGCATGCGCACAGCGCGCTGTACGGCAGGCGGGACGGGGGGCACAAGATGGCGGCGCCCGGCGGCGGCACGGAAGGCCCGCAGGAGGCCGAGGGATTGGTTTTGGGGCGCTTGGAGGAGGAGGCGCTGAAGCGGCGGGAGCGGCTGAAGGCGCTGAGGCAGCGAACGCTGCAGGTGGGGCCGGGCTGGGCGCTGGGAGCGCGGGGGCGGCGCTCGGACGGGACCCGCGGTGGGGACGAGGCTGCGGAAGGGGCCTGGAGGGGCCGGAGTGGGCCTGGGGACAGGCCTGGGGGAGAGCCAGAGAGAGCCCCGTGGATCCTGAGATTTTTGGGATGCGGTGGGACAGGATTTGAGGATTCTGGGGTCTCAGAGGGGTTGGATGTGTCAGAGCATCCCACGTGGATCTCGAGTTATTTGGGATGTGGTGCGACAGGAATTGAGGATTCTATAGGTCCCAGACGGAGCCACGTGGATCCTGAGATTTTTGGGATGTGGTGGGACAGGATTTGAGGATTTCTGGGGTCCCAGAGGGACTGGAGGTGTCAGAGTATCCCATGTGGATCCTGAGATTTTTGGGATGCGGTGGGACAGGAATTGAGGATTTCTGGGGTCTCAGAGGGGTTGGATGTGTCAAAGCATCCTATGTGAATCTCGAGTTATTTGGGATGTGGTGCGACAGAAATTGAGGATTTTTGGCGTCCCAGAGGGGTTGGAGGTGTCAGAGGATCCCACGTGGATCCTGAGATTTTTGGGATATTTGGGATCCTCAGTTCTTTGGGTGGGACGGGGTTTGATGGTTTTGGGGTCCCAATGGGGCTGGGGGAGAATCAGAGGATCCCACGTGGATTCTGAGTTATTTGGGATATGGAATGCAGAGGGTCTGGGATGGGGTTGGGAATGTTGGGGAGACACAGAGAGTTCGAGATGGGAGAGGGGCTGGGGGTGTTCACACATCCTGTGTGAATCCTGAATTATTTGGGATCCTCATTTCTTTGGGTGGGACAGGATTTGAGGATTTTTGGGGTCCCAGAGTATCCCACGTGGATCCTCAGTTTTTTTGGGATATGGTGGGACGGAGGATTTGGCACTTCCCAGCCCTCACCCCCTCCATGTGCAGCCTCTGGAATATTTGGGATATTATTTGGGATGCTGCTCCCAGGGCAGGGGTGGAATTCCCATTTCCAGAGGGATGGAAATCCCTGTGGATTGGCCCTTGGGGACCCGGATCAGTGCTGCCAATGGTTGGACTCCATCTCCAAGGCTTTTCCAGCCTCGAGAATTCCAGGATTCCAGAACTCAGACCCTCTTTTCCTGTCACGAGTAGAGGCAAAATCTTGGGAAAAAAAACCACCATTCCAATGATTTTCCTTCTTTTCCTTGAATACAGCCTCTTGTTTCCTGCTAGCATTTTTCCACGGGAGGGTTAATTCCTAAAAAAAAAAACAGCAGAAAATTGCTGGGATTGGATTTTCCCGCTGCTCCTTAATCTCCCCTGCCATTCCCATCTCCATGGCAATGGACACAGAGATTTTCCATCGTTTTCCCCCCCCTTTTTCATCCCTCTCTATTAAAAAAGGATTAAAGGCTCCTTTCATCTCTTGGAATTCCAGCTGGATTTGCTCTTTTTTTTTTTTTTTTTTTTTGGAGCTTTGGGATGGGATCCATGGAAATGAGGAGTGACATGGAGCCTGTTTGGGATCAGCTGTGGAGACAGGGATGGGGATGCTGTGCCAGCATTGGGAATTCTCTGCTGCTTTTCCTGCTTATTTCATGGAATGCTTTGTTGGGAAAGATCTTCAAGGATATCCCATTCCCAGGGTAGGGAATTCCAAGCAGCTCTTTGCTTTTTTTTTTTTTAATGGAGAATTCCTGATTTTCCAAGAATGGGAAGCTGAGGGTGGGAAAATGAAAAAGGGTTGGAAAGAAATTTTTCCAACTGGGTGGATGTAGTGTCATTCCAGAGGGATGGAGAATGCTCCAAACTCCTGGAAAAGAGCTTGGAATAGAAGGAGACTTTACCCAGCCCTTAGGGGAGAAATTTGGGAATTCTGTTGTGGTGTGGAAAAGGTTTGGATTGAAATTCCTGCTTTATTAAAGCTAGGAGAATCCCAAAATCCCGGATTTCTTTTGGGAAGGGGCCTTAAAGCTCAACCAATTCCATGGACAGGGAACCCAAAACATTCCAGGCCTGAAATCCATAAGGAAGCAAACCTGAGGTTGTGATTCCAGCAGGAATTTCAGGTTTTAAAGGGAATAAACTCTGAGTATTCCAGGATGATCTCGAGCTGGTGAAAATTCCAGCAGTTTTTGTGGAGCAGCTCAAGGTCTTTGGGAAGCTTTTCCTGCTTCTTTTTTTTTTTTCCTGCTTCTTTTTTTTTTTTTCCTGGGAACTGTGAAAGGCTTTTCCTTGCTTTTATCCCTTCCCTTTATTCCCACGTGGTTCTGTTCCCTTTGACAGCTCATCCCTTTGTTTTCCAGCTTTAATTCCAGAAATCCAGGGAATGCAAATGATCTCTGGGAAACGTTTCAAGGGCAATGGATTTGCACTAGAAAAAAAAAAAAAAATCCTTGGAAGTCCAGGACTTCCTAAAAATTAGGGGGAAGCTGAAAGAAGGAAATTATCCCAGAAATATCTCAATTTTCCCAGTTTCTTGCATCACTTATCTTAAGGTATTCTGCTTTTCCTGGAGTTTTCCTGTCACTCCAGTGTCTTGTGAATGGAATTTTGGGTTATTCCCACTGAAAACAATGGGAATGTTCATGGAGAAACCTGGATTGAGTCCTGCCTGTGGAGAAATCCAGATTTTTTTTTTTGGGATTCTCTTCAGGTTGGAGACACCAAAAACAGGAAAAAAAGGAATTTTTTTCTGTCTGCTCCCTCAGTTTCCAGATCAGATTCCCTCAAGGAAAATTCACCAAAAATATTTAGGTGGAATAAATAACAGGAGAGGAGAAGAAATCGTTGCAATAAGGAGATTCCTGCTTGGAAATTCCATAGAAAAAAAATGGGAAGCTGCTCCAGGAGCCTCCTTTGTGTGCAGTGCTGGAATTCCCGAGGGAATCCTGCAGAGGTTGAGCTGTGGGAAAGCTTTTTGTGGGAATATATTCCAGGATTATTCAGAGAATTTAAATGAAAAATCTGGGAATTTCGAAATTCCTGCTTTGGGATTCCCACTTTGCCTTTCTTCCTGTGGAAAGTGGGGGGTGAGGGACTTTTCCTGTAATTTAAGGAAAAAATTCCTTGCTGGGACACTGGGATTTCCCATTGTGGACATCCCGAATTTCCAGCTTTTCCCTCTTTTGCTTTTGCTGTGAAATTCTGGGATTTGATGGCTCAAAGTTCCACTCTGAGGGAATTTCCCAGGAAAATTCCTTGGGAATTCCTCATCCTTTGGGGATGCTGTTGATAATTCCCAAAAGATCCTTCAACAAAATCCAGATTGGGATGGCTGTGGGAATTTCAGATTCCTTCTTCCATCCCAAAATTCTTAATCCAAGAACCCCACATCTCCTCCTGCTGTTTTTTTTAATCCCCAAATCCTATAAAAGCCGGATTATTCCCGTGGTTTTTTTGGGGAAGGAAGGGTCTCCCATTGCTGCTTCCCTCATCCCTGCTCCTGCAGCGTTCCCTGTGTTGTTCCTCGAGCTGGAAAAATTCCTTTGGCTTCATCCCAAGCTTTTGTTCCCGGCTGGATTTGCTCCAGAGCCACATCCCTGCTCCTCCACACCTTCCTGGTGGGAGAGGCTTTGGAGCAGGAGGAAGGGCTGGCACTGCTCCTTTCCTCAGCCTTTTCCTGCTTTTCCACCCTTTCCCTGCTTCCCCAAAACC